AAAAAAAAAAAAAAAAAAGAAGATGGAACTCCGGTCTTATGAATGGGATGAGAGGCAAAAATGAAGAATTTGAGATAAAACCAGAAGATCTACCCTCAAGTACATTATCCAGAGAATTGGAGCACTCCTAGACATACGTCCAAGCAAACTTTCATGAGGATGGCAAACGCCGACCTCTTCAGTGGCCCAACAGGTAGTGGGTGTAAGGGAAGCAGGCCGTCAGAGAACAGCGGGGACCTTGAGACTGTGGGGAGTCTTTCTTGAGGGGCAGCAACAATTCAGTACCTATCACCTGCTGCTTTAGGTATAGACTCAATATTGCCGGATATTTCCATGGTGAAAGAGAAGCCAGAAACCTGATGTGCAGGTCAGTTGGTCTGGATTTTAAATGTCAATGCTTAATTCACTTTTCTCCAAACTTCCCTGTGGACTAAACACAAGTGTCTGAGTGCTAGACTCAGTCTGTCAGCATCTCCTCTCTCTGCCTTTCTCCCAGCAGTCTTATTCCTTTCTCAGCTTTGAGCGCAAAGCCTGCACAAGGCCATCCCAGTTAACGGTCCAGCCCACTCCCCTAGAGCTGTCCAGATTTGCAGCTCAAACCCTCATCCTCCTCACTGGTGTGTGTGTGGTTCTTGGGCAGCGGGGCTGTTTGTTTGTCTTGGACCAGCGTTTAAGGCATGTATGAAGAAGCCAATGGAAGAAGGAGAGAAGAATTTAGTTGAAGGTATCTAACCTGGTAGGGAGGTCAGGATGATCTCTCCTTCTTCCTTTTAGCCTCTGTCCTGAACTCAGTGGCTGGTCCACAGTAGGTGCTTCATAATGGTTTGTAAGAAAATGACACCCTGCGGGAAGAAACCAGAAGGCAAAGGAAATGCTATGCTGAACAAGGTGTGAAGCAGAAGTTATCAGCCACTGACAAGGAATGGGGAGGGTGAAGAGATCAGTGTTTATGAAGTCATGAGTCAAATTAGGAAGGAAAAGAAAGAGAATGTTAAATCCCATAGCCTGAGTCAGAGTCGGGCTGTATCATTTGCAGACAGAAATGGGTTTGAATCACTGCTCTGCTAATTAGTAGCTACGAGATTTAGAGCAAATCATGGACTCCACTGGGTCTTCATCTGTACATCTGGAAAGTGAGAGTGGGATCACCTAATTCCTAAAGGTGATTGGGGGATCAAATAAGAAAATGGATTTTAAAATGTTTTGTAAACAGAAAAATACTCAGGAGGGAAAAGGGGGACCAAAAAGTCCAGTCACGTAGAGGCTAATGAGTCAGAAGCACAGTGCAGGGCCAGAGTGATTTGGGGTTGTCTGTATCATTTACCATATCAAGGAGGCTGCTGGCTTAGCCCTGCGCTTGAGTCACCCTAATTAACAAGTACCTGGCCAGTTAGGAGTTTAACTCTGGCTAAACTGAGTGAGGAGGAGCTCCTGAACTTGGCCAGGGACTGGAGAAAGCTAAGACAGGAGCCGAAAGAGAAAGCAACCCTCCCATCCTGCCTAAGGATGCCTGGGTCATCTATGAAGCACGTCTGACCATCGGACTCCAAGAGCACATGTAGAGTAAGTCTCCCAGGGCCTCAATGTTGAGAAAGAGGGCACACAAGCTCATTCAGGGTAGGAATTATTTATGTTCATAACATTCCAACTTACATAGAGCCATTAACAAATTACATCTGGCAACCACTTCTAAACAATCGCAGTAACTTGTGGTTTTAAGTAGTAAGTGAGTCAGTGAAACAGAGCAGCCATCCTCAGGCCTGCTGGGGAATTCTCTTCTTGACCACAACAGCCAGAAGCTAGATAAATGGTACAGAATGTGGGCACTGGAGACAGTGATCACCTTGGCTACTTATTTAATCTCCCCAAGCCTCAGTTTCCTCAATAGTAATATGGGGATAATAATAGCAGATACTTCCACACAAGGTTGTTCGGTTTCAATGAGATGAGCTTTGCAAAAGGCTAAGCAAAGATCTTCTCACGGGGAAAGCAGTCCAAAAGACAGACGGCATCCACTCCATGGTCACTTCAAAGTCTATCTTGGCTCCAGTCCCTTCTTTCTGGGATTTGTAGGATTCTAAACTATTAAAGATAGAAGTGTCATTTAATTGAGACCATTTAGGACAGAGAGTTTCTTTTCTTGGAGCCAGAGGGTATCTTGAAGGCCCATAACAAGCTCTTTGGGGAGACAAAGAATACCCCAAATCAGAAAATCTCCAGGGCCCACGTGAGCTCTTCAACCAGAATGGCTTCACTTGGTCTGGTTTGTTTTTTTCTTATATTAGATCAGGGTGTAGGTTTTTGTTTAATGAAAGATTTTCACTATGAAATCTAACTAAGCTGGGTATGGTGGTATATACCTGTAATCCCAGAACTCAGGGGGTTGAGGCAGCAGGATCACCTCGAGTTCAAGGACAGCCTGGACTATATAGTGAGTTCAAGCCAGGCTGAACTATAAAGTGAGACCCTGTCTCAAAATAATAATAATAATAATAATATAATAATAATAATAAATAATTCAACCTCTTCATTGTACAAAGCTAGAAGATGAGACTCAAAGAGAAGTGAGTAACCCAAGAATATATTGTATGTCTCAGACATAAGATTTGCTTTTATATCTTCAAGTATTTGTTAAGTGTAAATAATAATTCTTAATTCGTAGACAAATAATATACCAAATGCAACTACTCTGCCCATAGATCAATGATACTTGGGTCAGTATGGTCCTTCTCCTCTGAGACAAGTGATAAAAGGGGTTATCTCACAACCGAGGAGAAGGGAAAACTCTGCCTTGTGCCTCTGGTCTACAGTGCAACCCAAGACCCCTCACATTCTATTGTTTTGGTTTTGCTTTAATTTTCAAGCTGCTTCATAGAAAAACAAACCAAGTCAAATTAAAAGGAATAGGAAGCAGTACAGGGGGAGAGAGGAGGGCCAATCCATGAAATCCCAAATTAGAAAGTTCTGTATGTAGTACAACATTTGCTCTCAAGAAAATCATTTGTGTCATCTCATCCTCGGGTGCGTCCTCAGAGTTGGTAGTGTTTATCTGAACCAAGCCCCTGTGCTTAGCACTGAGCACACATTTTCTCATGTAAATCTCTTGGCAACCCCATCAGGCAAGTAGTATCATTCCCATTTTACAGATAAGGAAATAAGCACAAGGAGAATGAAATCAGAAGCACAAGGTCACAAGACAGGCAGAGCCAAAATTCAAAATCACAACATTGTGACTCCAGAACTCTTGCTCTTAACCACGGTGAGCTGTCAACTTTCCATGACCCTAACAGATCACTGAAATAAATAAATTTGAGAAAAGGTTTATTTTGGTTCTGTTTTACAGTGTTTACTTCATGACTAATTGGCCCCATTATTTGGGCCTGTAGCAGCACAGTACATCATGGTGGGAGTGCATAGTGGAAGCCTGTTTACCGTATGGTTAGGGACAAAAAAGAGAGGAAGAGGGCCAGGGATTTAGTTCAGTGGTACAGCACCTGCCTGGCAAACATGAGGCCCTCAGTTCAAGTCCCAGTGCCCTTCCCCACAAAAAAGAGAGGTAGAGACCAGGGTCTCACAGGGCCAATTTGACCTAAGACCTCCCAACAGCAGCAAGCTGGGGACTTCACCTTTAGGACATGGACCACTGGGAGAAACTTAAAATCCAAACTATAGCTCATGGTCTACAATGGATCATCCTACAGCCACAAGCAATCATCCACAAGTGATCTACCCAATTTCAAATAGGAATGTTCAATCAAACAAACAAGCAGAGAGGAGACAAACTAATAGCATATGCCCCACCCATCCTTTCACCGACTGGCCACAAGCTCCAAGATGAGTGTCAGACAGATGTGCTCTGATGATCCCCTACCACCAGTTTGGTAACATCACCACCACTGCATGTGTGAGACTAGAGTTTATAAAGACCACTGTTTCACTCTATCTAACAGTGAACCAGCTATGCCATCTGGGCATCCAAGAAGCAGCAGCAATCTAGTTCAGGACCCAGAGAAAAATAGCCATGGTTTGACTTCGTCATTCTCCAACAAGAGCAAGTAAGCATGTCAAGAGAAATGTGGACTCCACCAGTGTTTTTCCTTAGATGCTCACTTAAGGCCCAAGTTCCTCAAAAGTTCTTCTATCTCCAGATCAAAAGGGAGCCTGGTGGGAGGCCACGAGAGCCAGTGCTGGTCCTTACTCTGCCACCATGTGAGTTAGCACCTGGATCAAGCCTCTTTTCAGGTCTATGGGGCAATGAAAAGAGAACTTTCCTTGGCCTGGAGACTCAGACGCAGCTGGGCCTGGGCTCAGACATGGACTGAAGGAAACAGGCTGTACCCCTCTCCACCCAAATCAACCCTTCCTCCCCAGTCCCAGAAACTGGCCACTTGACAATTCTTATCTCAATGACAGGAAGCAATGGCAGGAGCCAAAAGAAGGAAAGGGGTCCTTTCTGGCCCACTGCAATCTGAACAGTGGAATCCAGAAGTTTATTGTATTAAAAATAAAAAGAAAGGAAAAAATGACCAGGGGTCGCTATAGAGAGGCTGAGACTACAAACAGCAGACCTGGTTGGTGGAGCACCAGGACTTCTTCCCTCGGGCAGCGGTTCTGACACTCACTGTGCCAAACCACCAACCACTTTGCCTTTGTTTTCTTTAAATGAATTGACCCATTTTATTTGAACAAATAAGGCAATTGTTTCTACGCCAGACAATGCAGCCTTCATATTCTGCTGCAGCTTAGCAAAGTTTCTCACATAACAGCTCTGCACTCCTGCCCAAGCTGATGAAATGTGCAACCCAATCATATAGAGCCAACAGCCAACGTGATTGCTGGGGAGAAAGTCAAACTTAAGAGTCGATGCATAATGCAAGTCCAAGGCCCTGTGCAACTCAGTCGTTAAACAGTTCTCTTCGGAACTGGACACTATTACCTTGGTTAGGGCCACCTCCAGCAGAATTTCACTTGTAAAGACTAGAAGGATGGAAGAGAAAGATACTTGTGGAACTAAGCATTCTGCTGCTTCCTCTGCTCTTGGCTTTTGTGCATCAGAGAGGGTCCCTGTGCTCCTAACCAAGGATCCTCTGTGACTAGCTGAAGGACTAAGCCCCACCCTGCCTCCAAAGGCTAAGACAGGTACCCCAAGTGTTACTGGAACACTTATCCTCCAGGCTTACGAAGTAACCAGTGCATACATATACACATATATAATTCATGATATATCTGTATTTATATCTACTATACCTGTGAGTTGTACTACAACACAAGAAACTTCACCTGTTACCTTGCTTTTATTTTCAAATTTTTTGTGTATGAAGTCTTTCCTTCTCTTAACAAGTTATCACTCACTAGGCCCAATTTCTTCAACAGAACAGTGGATCCTAAAGGAGAGATCTGTTTTTGGTTTTGTTTTTTGAGATGAGGTCTCACTATGTAGCCCAGGCTGGCCTCAAATTTGCAATTCTTCTGCCTCACTCTCACAAATCCTGAGAACACAGGTGTGCTCCATCACATCTTGCTAAAGGAAGGATTTTAATTGTCCATTTTCAGGAAGTGCTTGGTTCTCTGTCCCAGAGTCCAGTACAGGACTGGCTTACAGTTGGCACTCAGGAAATATTTTGTAACTTTTAATTAGGAGGTTGGTTAAAGGACTGACTGGATCCTGCCCCAGTTGAAGGCAGCCTCAGGTCCTTGGCTCTGCTCCTTTGCTTAGGCTGGGGATGGGGGCTCAGTCATCACCTAATAAATACATGCATGCATAAAATTGTAAGCTCCACAGGACAAGCTAGGATACCCCCTGTCCCTCCCTAGGGAAGCCCTTGAGCCAAGGATTCAAGCG